GTTAAATAAAAGTGCATACAGAACTGGGAAATGGTTTTCTTTAAATTTGCCACTTATTCTAGTTCAATAAAATGCTTGTAGAGAAAATAACCACTTAAGGCAGAAGACTAGTTACATTGTTGCTGTTCAGAACTTCTTGAGAGCAAAAGAATGAATATCAATCAACTTCCCTGGTTTAAACTTATGTGTCTTAAAACATATTATTTTGTAAATTGAACATCTATGTTATGCCTCGAAAATTCAAAGCAGAAAGTTAAATCACATAGAAAGCCAGAAAACTTCATCAATACATCTAGACAGATGTTTGCTTGTAGTTTTTGGTATCTAAAACCTTTTTTCCACACATCGCACAGATATCTTTTTTTGTAGGCACAGCCCTGGCAATAATGAGAACCTGGTTGGTGCACAGAACTTTTACAATTCTGCAAGTGAAGAACTTACTCTTTCCATATGGATCGAATCTGGCTTTTTTTGAAGTCAAAGCTTTATTTTCATTTAGCTTTCTTCCACCACTTTCTGTGGTATTCCTAGCACCATCTTTCCATGTATCTGGAGTGATAACAGTACCAAGTTTCTTTTCACATTTTTCACACACCATCCTTCTGCCATCTCTCCCCCAGAAGCCAAAGCAACAACAGCTTGAAAACATCAACACTACAGCCTTCGAAGGATTCCTGCTCCTGACAGCTCCTTTTAAAGTTAAATAAATAGAAAAATGTTCCAGGAACCACAGTTAAAATTAAGGCGAGACCTCTTAAAATGTTCACTTATAGATTAGAATTAAAAATGTGCACAAAATTTTGCTTCACAGTGTAATTTGGAGCTCCGCTGTCTTATATAGTAGCCACTAGCCACAAGTGGTTAAGTTTAAAATAAAATAAAATTGAAATTTCAATTCTATAGTTGCACTATCCACACGTCAGGGCTCAGTAGCCAAGTAGGACAGCGGAGATGTAGACCATTTCTAGAAGGGCAGAGAGCTTTGTTGCAACACACTGATCTAGAGACCAACCTGAGGAACACACTGATCTAGAGACCAACCTGATTGAAGCCAATACCCATTATCAAAGCTTCCTCCTGGTGATGAATGTAGTGGATCACAAGTTGGAGGGACATAGCCAGGATCACAGTGACAGTTATGGAAACTA